CATTAGGTACAGGAGATCCAGATTTATTAATAGATGAAGAAAAACTAAGAGATGCACATAGAGCAGCGTCGCAGCTGCAGCAGGAAGGAAACGCAGCCCTTGAGGGTGTTATACTATCACCTAATGGTGGCGATGCAACTTCACCTGATGGTTCGGGTTCTCCTTCTCCTCATGCTTTATCTTCTATATTCTCTCCTATGCCTTTTTCAACTGTATATTCATCTTTTGCTCAGTCACCATCAAACCCTTTATCTCCTACTTCTCCTTCTGCTGCTGATGGTGCTGTTGTAGATACACAAGCTTTGGGGGGGAAGTTCTCTCCCCCTCAACAAACACCTCGCTCACCTACATCTCCTGTTTCTCCTCTTTCTTGTTTCTCTCCTCGCGATCAACAAAACCCTATGTCTCCTATTGCACAGGGTTGTTTCTCTCCTGCTTCTCCTCTCGTGACCAGTGGTCTAGACACCGTATCCCCTTCATATTCCCCTTCTTCTCCTCTGCAGAGCCCATACTACCAACCCAGCATGAGAGATGCATCAGGTGCTGCTGGGGCCATTGCCTCTCCCTCTTACAGCGCCTCTTACTCTCCTACATCACCCACATTCTCTCCTGCATATTCTCCTTCTTCTCCTGCTTCTTATTCTCCCACTTCTCCCGCATATTCTGCAGCAGGTCTCAACCCAACTTCTCCTGCTGTTGCTCCCTTTGCCCCTTTCTCTCCCAATACAAACACAAATGTTGCTTCGCCTTCTTACTCCCCCACCTCGCCAGTATACTCAGCAACCTCTCCCTCATACTCACCCACATCGCCGCTACAAGAGCCCACGTCTCCGGCTTACTCCCCCACCTCTCCCGCATACTCTCCCACTTCTCCCGCCTACTCCCCCACCTCTCCCGCTTACTCTCCCACTTCTCCTGTGTACTCACCACAAGCAGGAGGATACGGAAACGTCGCATCCCCTGGTACGCCCACAGTTGCTGCAGCCAGCTGCAGCAGCAACAGCAGCAGCAGCAGCAGCAACTGCAGCAGCAGCAGCAGCAGCAGCAGGAGTAGGAGTATTATGTGCCTGAGCATAGCACCCCGCCGAGCATTACCGTTTCTTTCTTTTTTATATATATTTGTATTTTCATGTTTTAGGATTTATTTTTTCTTTTTTTTTCTTTTTTTTTTTCTTTTTTTTTGTTTTTCTCCTCAGCTTACTCTGTTCAATCACCTCGATACTCTCCCACCTCGCCCCTACCAGGGGCCGCCTCTCCCGCCTACGGAGAAGCAGCGCAGGAGTACTCCCCCACCTCTCCCGCTTATGAACCTGCTGGTGAGGCTACTCTCTGTAGCGAGCAGGGTTTAGGGTTTAGCAGGGTTTAGGGTTTAGGGTTTGTGGGGCCCTCTATGCTGAGATGAAAGGCAGCGGCTGCCTGCTGGCGTTCGTTAGGTGGGTACCCTTTTTAGTATCCGGGTCGAGGGTTTAGGGTTTAGGGTTTAGGGTTTAGGGTTTGTTGTTGTGTCTATCCGCAGACCCGTTCTCCCCCAACCCGTACGCCACTGAACTCACTCAAGACATAGAGCTAGGCGCAGACAACGACCCCACAGACCCCACAGACCCCACAGCCCCCGCCGACCCCACCGACCCCACCGATCCCAACACCGATCCCAACAACGATCCCGCCGATCCCGCCGACCCCACGTCTCCCTCTTCCCCACAACCCCCGCAGGAAGATGCCTAAACCCTCACCCTCTCAGAGCTTTACAGAAAGCCCCCGAAAGGGGCCCCCTAAGAGCAGTTGTTTTCTGTTCGTGGGGGCCCCCACAGGGGCCCCCAGAGGGGCCCCCAGGGGGGCCCCCAGAGAGGGTCTGTTAAGAGGAACTCGCAGCAGGGGCCCCCAGAAGGGGGGGGGCCCTGTGTGAAAGGTTATTCGTAGAAGCTGCAGAAGCAGCGGCGATGTTTAGGGATCTTCAGGGGTGTGGGGTTTGCTAGGGGGGGGCCCCCTCAAGGGGGCCCCCGTGTT